AGCGGAGAGACTGGTGGACATAGAACATTGTGGTGGTTATATCTGAAGCGGAGAGAATGGTGGATATAGAACACCGTGGCGGTTATATCTGAAGTGGAGAGACTGGTGAACACCGTGGCGGTTACATATGAAGCGGAGAGACTGGTGGACATAGAACATTGTGGTGGTTATATCTGAAGCGGAGAGAATGGTGGATATAGAACACCGTGGCGGTTATATCTGAAGTGGAGAGACTGGTGGACATCGTGGCGGTTATATCTGAAGCGGAGAGACTGGTGGACATTGTGGCACTTTTGTGAAGTAAAATGCACACTTTTAAAAATGTTTAAAGTAAGGGTAAACAAAACTCATTGGAAATCATTTGAATTCAACTCCACTGATTGCTATTTTCTTCCCTTATCCAAATCAAGGAAACCGATGGTCAGAGACAGTTGTGTTTTAGGGTTAACTGCTTTACGATTGGATTTTTTATTTTCTAATATATTCAGGTAACTTCTTTCAGGTTTTACTTACACTCAAATAGGCCTAGTTGTTAGCATGCCGGGTTACGAATCGGAAAGTCCAAGGTTTGAGTCTGTATTATGTCACTAAACACGCTTTAAGCTCTGGGGGTGTTATAACTCTGAGAGTCAACCCTGATACTTAATTCTGCCCGTGTAAGTAGCGGGTACTGATTAGTGTTTGCCCTCCCTCTGTAATCATTTCTAAATTAGCTATGCCCGATCCTTGGGGGTTTCTGACCTAAACATTTAGGCTATGTGCCATAAAGATTGTGCACCGGCCCTGTTCACATAATGATCCTTTCACGAGTTACTACTACTTATCAGGCGGGCCCTTCAGTCAGTGAGATAGGTCAGAAGGGCCCTTCAGTCCCGGTACCCAGTGAGATGGGTCAAAAGGACCCTTCAGTCCCGGTACTCAGTGAGATGGGTCAGAATGGCCCTTCAGTCCCGGTACTCAGTGAGATGGGTCACAATGGCCCTTCAGTCCCGGTACCCAGTGAGATGGGTCAGAAGGGCCCTTCAGTCCTGGTACCCAGTGACATGGGTCAGAAGGGCCCCAGGTGTATTTGACTTGTCTACACCACCTATATGTCTACCATTGTCTGTAGTTTTAATCATCCATAGTTAAGTGATCTGGGTATAAACTATTGTATTTACGTTGTTTGTTTGTAACGTATAAACTATTGTATTTACGTTGTTTGTTTGTAACGTATAAACTATTGTATTTACGTTGTTTGTAACGTATAAACTATTGTATTCACGTTGTTTGTTTGTAACGTATAAACTGTTGTATTTACGTTGTTTGTTTGTAACGTATAAACTATTGCATTTACGTTGTTTGTAACGTATAAACTATTGTATTTACGTTGTTTGTTTGTAACGTATAAACTATTGTACTTACGTTGTTTGTAACGTATAAACTATTGTATTTACGTTGTTTGTAACGTATAAACTATTGTATTTACGTTGTTTGTTTGTAACGTATAAACTATTGTATTTACGTTGTTTGTTTGTAACGGTAAACTATTGTATTTACGTGGTTTGTTTATAAAGTACAAAATATTGTATTTACGTTGTTTGTTTTATCTTTAAACACGTGAACGTTTAAGTTTTAACAACGTTTTTATCATTTCAAAGTAAAGGTTATTTTTTATCGGAGCTAGTCTTAAACATTATCTCACTATACGTGTATAGGTTTCTTTTCTTTTGTTGACAGATACTAACACTTAATATCGACACGTGCGGTTGGTGATTTGTTTGAAAGGAATATGAAATATTTTTTTTTATAAACAACTCGTTTTGTTGTTGTTGAATGTATGATTATTCTCTTCTAAAGACTGAACAATAATGAACAATGTTTTTAACAATAATGAACAATGTTTTTAACAATAATGAACAGTGTTTTAACAATAATGAACAATGTTTTTAACAATAATGAACAATGTTTTAAACAATAATGAACAATGTTTTAAACAATAATGAACAATGTTTTTAACAACAATGAACAATGTTTTTAACAACAATGAACATTATTTTAACAATAATGAACAATGTTTTTAACAATAATGAACAATGTTTTTAACAATAATGAACAATGTTTTTAACAATAATGAACAATGTTTTTAACAATAATGAATAATGTTTTAAACAATAATGAACAATGTTTTTAACAACAATGAACAGTATTTTAACAATAACGAACAATGTTTTTAACAATAATGAACAATGTTTTTAACAATAATGAACGGTGTTTATAACGTTAATGAACTATATTTTTAACAATAATGAACAATGTTTTAAACAATAATGAACAATGTTTTTAACAACAATGAACAGTATTTTAACAATAATGAACAATGTTTTTAACAATAATGAACAATGTTTTAACAGTAATGAACGGTGTTTATAACGTTAATGAACAATATTTTTAACAATAATGAACAGTGTTTTAACAATAATGAACAATGTTTTAACAATAATGAACAATGTTTTAACAGTAATGAACTGTGTTTATAACGTTAATGAACAGTATTTTAACAATAATGAACAATGTTTTAACAGTAATGAACGGTGTTTATAACGTTAATGAACAGTATTTTAACAATAAAGAACAATGTTTTAACAGTAATGAACGGTGTTTATAACGTTAATGAACAGTATTTTAACAATAATGAACACATTAAGCTACTAATATAGTTTTTCAATAATGGAATGTTGAGCATAAATATTTAAAACACTGACGTGTATGTATATATGTATGTGTCATGTACTTAATTACAAGTTTCTTTTTCCAGTGTAAAATTTTGAACTGACTTTTTAATTTTTATGCGTCTGTAACTTATAACACAAGCAGGCCTAACCAATTTTCTCTCGAGATAATAAAGCTGATAAAATTAAATTATATCTCGACGCCAGAGTGTGCTTCATTATGATAATCAAACATACTGACAGGCTTTAAAAACAACTGTTGTTTCGTCAAAAAATTACTAGTTGTTAAATCATGTACATGTAACACCACTTCGTAAACAATGCAGGTTTCACGTGCAAAAAAACAAACAAAAAAAGATTTACATGGTCTATGGTTAAATCACCTGACACGATTTAGTGAAAACAGAGATTCTTCGTAGGCTAAATGTCTAATGTTTTGTCCAGTTGGTTCGTAATTAAATAATCTTATTAAATAATTCGTAATTAAATATTCTAATTAAATAATTCATAATTAAATAATCTAATTAAATAATTCATAATTAAATAATCTAATATATCGTGAGAAAATGTAGTTAGTTATGTGTGCTTGCAGAAATATTTTCAGGGGGGGCAAGACATGTATTTAGGGAATCAGTTTTTACAGTTCAAGTTTTTACAGACTAAAATTGTATGTGCTATGTGTGCTTAAACGTGATCACAAATTTACAGTTGTAATAACAATTACAAAGATATTTAAGCTAACTACGATGTTAAGTTTACATCATAATACCTGCATTTATTTTGTGTGTGAAATGTAAGGGGGTCAGATGCCCCCTCTTGCCCCTTATTGCGGGCGCCCATGTCTACTATTATTTACTGTAAAATATTCTCGTAAATAGTAATAATAAAATTAGGCCCAGTAGGCAAGACATTCATATCTCGAAATTAGTCCCAGTAGGCAAGACTTCCATATCTCGAAATTAGGCCCAGTAGGCAAGATCATTCATATCTCGAAATTAGGCCCAGTAGGCAAGACTTTCATATCTCGAAATTAGGCCCAGTAGGCAAGACTTTCATATCTCGACTAATAACTTGATTTGTTTTTACAACGAGGATTTCTAAGACCAATTTCAATTCTAAACTATTAAACTGAGAAGAATATCGTAGTACGACATTATTGGAAAGGTTAATATTTCAAATACCCTCCCCCACTCCCGGTAACAGAAGCTTATATCTTCCTCTTTCGAACATCTCCCCCTCCACAATTCCTTTACCATTCAAGTTCACTGCTCTTTTTTTAGAAACATCTGGGATAAACCGACTCTCGAACTTTAAAAAATACCATTTTACACAAAGACTAAGAAATGTTTACCTGATAAGTCTCCTTGTTTCTACGTTAGCAGCAACGTGGATGGATGCCATTCACTACATTATAGGTCTCGACAAGTATTCTCGTCCCCGGGTAACTACTGTGAATAACGAACGAATTAATTCAACAAAAATAGCAATTAATAACGTATTATATGTAAACAATAAAATTAATTTTCCTGCCCTGATTTGTTGTGACAAAAATAACATTCTAATCTAGTTCGTATCTAGCAACCGTCGTCAGCTAATTTTCTAACATAAAACCAACTACAGTGTCTTTCGTATCCCAGCCGGCGTGAAGAATCCTGGTATTACCCGAAAGGCCTCATCTGAACTGCATGTAGTATATATAGAATGATTGACACATCATTATTCATTTTGCTCAATTCTTGTTAATTAATGACCCATAAAAGACAGAAGTCTTGTATTTTATATGTTAAAATCACCTTAAAATAATGCGCAAACTCTGAAACGTGTGACACTTGTTTTTTTTTGTGTTATTATTGCGATTAATAAGGGCCATTTGAACTGTTTTGTACAAGAACGTGTAGAAGAAATGAGTTTAAACATAATGTTTTCGATAACTTTAAACACCGTTTACGATTTTAGCATCAGAGGTTTTCTTAAGTAACTGCATAGGGTATATAATTTGATAATGATAATTTGAAACACTAGTTTAAAACTAACTGAAAGAGTCAATTCAAACTGTTAGGACATTAATTTGAACCAATTAAAACATTTAGTTGAAACTAACAAAAGAACTTAGTTAAAACCATTAAAATACTTGTTTAAAACAGTTTAGTTAACAGCTAAACCAGTTGAAATACTTATTTATAATAGTTGAAACAGTTAAACCAATGGAAAATATCGTTAAAATAGTTGAAACAGTTAAAAATACAAAACTGTAAAATATCCACTGAGATATGATATGTTTTTTTTTTAGAGACGTGTTTTTTAGAAAATTACCTCTTTCAAAGAAAAAATAAATCAATCAAGTTTTAAGTCGTTACGAGTTAAATGATCTGGAAATCTTCTTTCTTTCTGAATGAGAGACAACGTGAAAAATCTGGCTCAAGCCTGATCAGCGAAATCAAGATCTAAAATGCATTTCAAGACAAGGTAAAAAATAAAGACTAAAGATAAAAGTTTAAAATTTAATTTTTACATTGTTTTACTTCTCTCCATCACAACACTACAAGCACGAGGTCAATTCATCTTCAGTGAGTTTTGTGATCCAAGAAAATCAATATTTCAACTCTTCTGGTGGATAAGATCGACGTTAATCAAGGAATGTTCTCGAAGGCCTATTAACCCTAACTGCGTAAACTAACCGGTGACGAGACACAACAACACCATAAGCCATGCGATATACCAAGATGTGTTATATATATATATATATACATATATATATATACATGTTATTTATTTCTTAACACATTCTCTATCCATCACTAACACACACACGCATTGGATATTAATTATAGTACGCTGTTCTGACGCAGGAGGGGGCACATTCTATTTGAATAACAAATGCGTTTTATGACTCGTACAGATTACGGGTGCACCCGACAGAAATCCATAATATATCATTTTGTTAACTTTCTTCATCTTGACTTCTTCAATAGAAACAGGCAGACAGGTCGTTAACAGCAACGACCAAGAAATTTTAATTATTTTAATACTTTTTCACATTTTAAAAATTGTTTTCAACCTTCCATTTTATGTAACCCCCTCTGATATATATATATTCATATTTTTACTTTCGTAAATATTCCCATATATATATATAAATATTTTTACCGCACTAACTAATTATCTACATTGTTATATTTACTGTAGTAACTATTTATCTACATTGTTATATTTACTGCAGTAACTAATTATCAACACTGTTATATTTACTGTACTAACTAATTATCTACATTGTTATATTTACTGTAGTAACTATTTATCTACATTGTTATATTTACTGCAGTAACTAATTATCAACACTGTTATATTTACTGCAGTAACTAATTATCAACACTGTTATATTTACTGCAGTAACTAATTATCAACACT